GAAGTGGCTGAAGGACTCTGATTTGTGCCTAAAAACTCTGAAATGATTTTAGGATGCTCGGGGGGTTTCTTTAAGCAGTTAAATGAATAGTTAAAAGATAATTAACCTAGCATAGCCGACTATGTTCATTGTTTTAATAGCTTTTTAAAACTAACATTGAGTTAAGCTGATGTATTGATCTCCTATTCTTGGGTTTTTAGTTATTAGTGGGTCTTTTTTCTTTGTCCCTTAGATGTAGTTCCCCTCCCTATATTTTTGGTTGTAGTTTGTAGTTTATAAAAAATAAATAAAAAATTCCCCTCAGGGGTATTTAAAAAAAGCATTACAAGGAAAGAAGTGCCAACACTCACAGTCTTTGAATTGCACCTTATTTACTTTCTACCATTAGGGAGTGATCATACCAGTTAACCTTTTTATCATCTGGGATCCTGTTATTGGTACTTTACAGGAGCAAAAGCAGAGTCCTTGAGTTGCTGTGCCTGGGTATACCTTCCATAGTATAAATGGACTTTGGTTAATCCTTGTTAATCCTGGGCAGCGATTGCCCTTTCAGTCCAAGACAGGCAGCACATTGTATCCTGTGTTGTCTTAGACTTTTAGCAGCAACTGTATTCATGTTCTGCTGTGCTTATATTAGAATGTGCCCTCTTTTATTTTGCATTCTACAGAGTACAGACTTCAGAGTCTTCAGTCTAAACCACTGAATATTCTAGACATAGAACTATATTCTCTTAATTTATTTTTTGTTGTTGTTCAGTCGCACAGTCGAGTCCGACTCTTCGCGACCCCAGAAGTTAATTCTATTTACTAGCATGGTTTTCTTTTTTTTTATTTATCAGATTTTATTGATTTTTTATTTCACCTACATTACTATAGAAAAAGAAAAAGGGGAAGAGGAAAAAGGAAAAAGGGGAAGGGAAAAAGGAAGAGGGAAAGGGGGAAAAGGGGGAAAAAAATAACAAACTAAAATAATAAAACCCCGGGGTATAGACAGTAAATAAAAAGACCCACACTATATCTAAAAGCCCAAGAAAGGAAGGTCTTATACAATTAGTATACAGTTAGTCATAAAAATTATAGTTTTTCGATTGAGTCAATGAATTTAGGAGTTAGTGAGTCCATTTTAGTAAATTTCAAATTTTCTTCTCAGTGCGCACAAAGTCTCTTTCATCCACGTCAGTTGTAAATCTTTCAGTCATAAGAGTTACTTGGGTACTCTTAGCCGCAGGTCATACGTATCTCTGGCCGTGCCTCCTTCTGCTCCTGCTGGGGCTCCGTCCATCTCTTTCAGGTTCTCTGCAGAGCCTCTTCCGTCTGGCTGTTCTTCCATTTTCGATCCAAAAAACTGCTTCAACCATTCTTCCGCTTTAAATACTGAGTCTATTTTTTCTCTCTTATCCTTGTATTTGAACTGCACGCCCTCGGGATAGAGCCAGTTATATTGAATCTGGTTGATCTGAAGTGTTGAGATAAGCTCTTTGTATGCTTTTCTCTTCTGCCGAACCTCAAATGGAACGTCCTTTAGGACCCTGATGATTTCTGGTCCCAGCTGAAGGGGTTTGGCTGCAGTAGCTTTGAGGATATCATCCCTTGTCTGTCTTCGGAGAAACTTGACTACAATCTCACCCAGCATGTTGTTTTGCTTGATATATTACTAGCATGCTTTTCTAACTATTTAGGTGGTCACTGTCCCCACAGATTTATCTCACTGGGGTTGGGGAGCCCACTACTAGTCTCCTAGTGTGAATGTGGCATTATCCCCCTTATGGAAGAGGTATGCATGAGAGGAGCCTCTACATATCCCCTAGAATACTTTTTCAGTGGGTTGTGTCCACAATGCTATTTGTTATGCTGTTAAGAATCAGTTTGTTCTAGCTCATACAGAAAGGTATCCTGCTAGGAACATGGCCACTTTTCTGCCTTGGCAAGGGGCACATCCATTTACTGACATGTAGAGTATGCTTTAGATATGTTCTTGACAGCTTATAAAGCCTTGGGCATAGCAGTTATCTATATAGCTTGTTTTACTCAGAACATCAGAACCCATCTCTAGATAAATCAGCAAACTAATCAAGTCTATGCTGCATTGCATGGAGACCAAAAAGAAGAAATATAGGCTGCATCATCACATATTTATTGTCTTCCTAGATGATGAGCCTTTCCACTGATAGCCCTCAGTGAGGTTGTGCTGTCTTTGCTGGCAAACAGTCCCCAAATGTAAAGCAGCTACTCATCAGCAACAGACTGCCCATTGAGGATATAAACCCAGACTATGGAGAACAAGCCAGTGCCAGTTTTGACACTGAATATTTGAATGACACCATACAGGAGTCCAAGAACATCAGCTAATGCCATCAATGGCTCATTCACCTGCACATCCTCTGATGTGATGGATGTTTCCATACACTGGCATTGCTCTTCTCCCATTTACATTGGCCAAATAGGACTGTGAAAGAAGACGAACACAGACCATACAGTAAAAATGGACGCATTCAAACTTTTTCTGGACATTCAACAGCAAATGTAAAAGCTTATATATTTCAGCCAAAAAAAAAAAAAAAGTTGCCAAGGGCAGTTTCAGCATGAAGCTACTGATTTGACAGTATGTGGCTTCAGCTTAGTAAAACTAGGGATGACTAGCTCTGTAGAGAAACTAATTCTACACTTTTAATCTTACTTGCCACTTCATCTTGCCATTCTGATTGCCTTGCAGTCTTGCTATTAGATTTTGTTTTTGGTGGTGTTCCGCAGTGTCATATAACAACACACTTATGGCTTGGAGTGTTGGGCCTTCTGGCCTCTTTTTTGAAATAGCCCATCTAGCCTTCTGTTTGCACCCTTGTGTTTATACTTCTGCCAGGTAATGTAATATTCCAGGCATCTGACAAAGTAGGCTCTGATTCAGAATACATCTATCACAGTAAATTTGTTAGTTTTCAAGGTGCCACAAGACACATTGTAGCTTTAGTTACAAGTAAGAAACCTTACCTGTAGGTAATACTTTGCATTTATTTGTATTTGATATAGTTTTACAGTTTATCACAGTCTTGAAAATAAATCCAAAAAAGGTTAATAGTCCATAACATTTTTACTAGTCCTCATGACATTTCAGTCACTGATGTGAAAAAGAACCAGCTCTCATTCAGGTTAGTAAAGTTCTTCCTCTTGGTTTCCTGGAAGAGATTCTGATTTCACTCTGGCATTTGGCTGTTTCCAAACCTGACTGTGTGAATTTTAGTCATCTTCCAAAGTGGTTCCCAGTTGTGTACCCTCAGCATATATTAATCCACCTTTTTAAGGAAAGTGTTGGGGAAACCTCCAGATGCAGGGCTAGTTGCAGCATTGCCTACAAAAGGGTGCTGATTTTCTCCTCCCTCTCATTTCCAGGGCACTTCTTAAAAGGAAATCCTCAGTCCTGTGGATGCCCCTCTGACTTGCTTGTGGGCATGGGCTGTAGAACTCTTCTCTGCAGGAAAGGACTGAAGTTGGGATTATGTTGTGTGTGAATTTGGAATGGATCTAATAGACACAAGATCCTTGTCAAAGGGGATAAAGCTGGTTTTCCAGGATTTGTTCTTGGTAAACCCCTCCTGACTTGTGAAGCCTGGCTTTTTGCTAAAGGCTTAGAAACAGTTTTATGATTTGTTTCTGTGATTTGCTGTTTCAAAGTTTTCCTTATTCTTTTCCTGGAGACTTCTTTTATGTTCTGTGCTCCTGAAGAGGAATGTCAAGGCTCGAGGATTAACCCTAGGGGATTTAAAGAAATTAGCTACAGCAGTTTCAGGCCTCGCTGGCTACAGATTATCCCACAATTCTTTAACTTGTTCCCACCCTGTTCTGACCTACATTTTATCCTGCTTCATCTTAGTGTTTCTTTTGCTGTAGCATAACCCTCTAGAATATAGAATGACATTTTCCTTGCCATTTCTTCAATTGTCGTGACACTGACTGAGGCCAGCAGTTAATGTAAAGTGCTTTGGTTGGAAATACATTTAAGAGTAATTCCTGTGTACAGCATTTCAGCACTAACTTTTGGCAAATGTGCAAGTGGACTCTTTGGAGCCTCAGCCATTGGGGGTGCTGCTGCAAATTCCTTGAGTTTAGCAGTAAGTGAGGCAGAACTGTTCAATCAGGGATAGGACCAGACTTCCCAGTGGCAGTACTCTTCAATATAATAGGTATAATTTATGTGCATCCGTTAGCACAGGTTGTGATAACTGGAGCAGAAAAGGGTTCTGATTAAGCAGTAGGCTGGTCATCACCTGTGCCTATCTTGTTGGCTTCTACACATTTGAGAATTGTGATCTGCTGTTATGAAAACCTGAAATGCACCAGCTTTATTTATTTACATTTTATTTTAAAATAGTCTGCCAACAATCGTAGCCATGGCTTCCAGGGCACGGGGGGTGGGGGGGGAGAACATCTAACAAACAAGTTATTCTGTTCTGCATGTTTTCCCACAAGTTGCAGATTAATTTCCTTTGCTAAAATCAATCTAGTTGATGTTATTACATGCTCTCACAAACTGTACTTGCTAATTGTTCCAAGCAAGAACACAGAATATTTTGTTCCACAGAAAGGCGAGCCCATCACTAAATGCTGAATTGTTGGCAGGGAGTGTAAGCTTTTTCCTGTAGTATGGCATTTCTACTCACTGCTTTCCTATGTGGGAATGGTTTTCATACAAGGAGTAGAGAAATGAGTCCTTAAGAAGTTTTATTGTTACAGCAAAAGAGCAGAGGCTGTCAGCTCGATGAAATACTTCATGTTATAATTAGCAGTAATTTGAATACTTTTCTATCCAGCTTTCCCAACACTGCATATCAGTGGAGGGAGCCACGGGGTGAGGTGGGACAATTAAAAATAGAAGTACTGCAGTCTTTGATCTCTTGCATTTAAAAGCCAAGGGTGATTAATATAGTTGTTCAGTTTTCATATTGGTAGGGAGGTGGCAGATGTTGTGCAATAGCTCCCATTTTCCCTCCCTCCCCCCTCTCTAGGTTTCCCTATACAAATCTGTGCCAACACGACTACTCTCACGAGCCTGGGGACGCTTGAACAGTGTAGAACTACCCAACTGGCTCCGGAAACCTGTCCTCAGCCTATACATCTGGACATTTGGTGTCAACATGAAGGAGGCAGCTGTGGAAGATCTGCATCACTACCGAAACCTTAGTGAATTCTTCCGACGGAAGCTGAAGCCACAGGCACGGCCTATTTGTGGTATCCATAGCATGGTAAGTTGCATGGAATAATTGTGCTGTTTGTTGATTGGCAGAATGGTGCTGCGGATTTCCTACCCTTTGTGTTGATTTTTGTTGCTGATGTTGTGTGTCCTCCTTCATGAAGTACAGGAAGATACTGTCCCGTCCCAAAGAGTTTAAAATAGAAATTTTGAGATAAGAAAGGCAACAACAGGAGAAGCGAACAGTGAAGATGGACAAGAGACAGCTGTGCATGCAATCCAGTTATGCATTCTTTAGTTTTCGTTTCAGTAGATGATGGGGACTAAGGGGACTGTGCCAAAGGCTTCGTGAAGAAACTGTGTTTGAAAGAGAAGCTTGAAGGAAGGGAGGGAGGTGGCATCATGCAGGTGTTTTGGGAGCCAGTTCCTGGAACAAGGGGGCAGCAAAGGAGAAAGAGCAGAGTTGTTTGATGGAGCATGAGACCTTTAGATAGGAGAGGGGTGCTGGAGCTGCAGGAATGAAGCTCATAGGCAGGGATGTATGTGAGCCTACAGGTAAGGGCGGGCAAGGCCAAGGATAGTTCTGAAGATGAGAGCAGTGAATGATTTTGACAGCAGAAATGTACGGGCTGAGGTGCATCAGTGTAAGACCAGGAGGAAGGAGACTGCAGTAGTCAAGGAGAGGGATGACCAGAGCAGATTTTTCATTCATTAGGTAGAAGGGAAGAACTGTAATTTTGTGACAGTTTTGTTGTGTTATAAAGGGAGGAGCCATATGACTTGGCAGCAGACTGAATATGTGAAGCAAAAGAGAGAGAAGGATCAAAGCTAAAGTCAAGGTTCCATTCTTGTTCTACATTGTGTTGGATGTTGTCAATGAACCTGGAGCATCCATGAGGAGAGTAAGTAATGGGAGGAAAGATGAGAAATTCCATCTTGGACTTACTGAGTTTGAGACTTCCAGGCAGAAATATCAGACAGTTAACTGGAGATGTGGAATTGGATGGTGGGGGAGAAAGTACAGGGATGGAAAGGTAGCACTGGGTGTCATTATATAGGTGGCATGGAGTTACTGGATTTGATGGGGTTACCCAAGGAAAGTGGGTCAAGAGAGTAGAAGAGGACCAAGGACAGATCTGTGGGGAACACCAATAGAGTGAGGTCAGGCTTCTAGGTCCAAGGGATTATCATCATAGATATAATAATCTGGGAGCCAGATGTTGTCAGAAGGTGAGTCGGTCCAAAGTTGAGGTTAAGAGAAACCTGGAAGGTAATATATGATTGCAATAAGATAAAGGGAGTAGAGATGTACAGAATCTACTTTGAAGGTTGAGAAGCAGAAGTATGGGGTGGAGGTGGAGGCTTCAGCTGACAGAATTTGGAGAGCCAGGTGTTGGTTAAGGGCAAATAGCTGGAGAGAGGAAAAGATCACAGAAGATCTGGGTGATTTCAGAGGGGGAGAAGGAAAACAGCTGGGAGAGTCTACAGTGGGTATGAGATTCAGAGAGAGAACAGATGATGGATGCAAAAAGAGGAACTGGCAAATGTACTGACATCATAAGAAGCCACTACATCCTCCTGCTCTAAATTAGGGCATGACTCCTCTTAAACTACTCTATTTTGCTGTAGCTCATTTATTTCTTAGGAGGGGAATGTTTTGGGAAAGGATAAGAAATTGACATGTGAGCTCTGACCTCCAGTATGAATGAATAAAGGGGCTTGCCCAAGAGATTATACAAAAGTTTATGTATGGCACTGGGATGGAGTAGAAAAGGTGGGTTGAATAACCAGGAGGTTGTTTTCCTGCTGTGAAAAATAGCACCATGAGGATTTTTGTTTGTTCTCTGTAGATCAGTCCATCTGATGGCAAGATTCTCAGTTTTGGACAAGTGAAGAACTGTGAGGTTGAGCAAGTGAAAGGCATTACTTACTCCCTAGAGTCATTTCTGGGCCCACATGCCAATACCGAGAATGCTGACGTCAAGCCAGGTAAATACCCAAATAAATTCAGTGGTCTTGTTTGGCTAGCTTTGTTGTACAGTGCCTTGGCACACAGAATAGTGCACCCTTCCTCTTCAACTCCAGAATTTCTTCTTTCTCATCCTTCCTGGCCACAGAATTTGGGCATAATTTTCTTGAATTTCTTTCTATAATGCTTCATTAGGGTTAGAGCTCACTGTGAATAATGGTAACTAACTGGCTTTCCACCAATCCCTATCTTCAAATCTTTGAGAATGTAGGAACTGTGACCAGCAAGCTGTACCTCTGTGTGTGGGATGAGATAACATTTTGTGGTGATGAGGTCACACAGCCTTGGGCAGGGACCAGACAATCACCAAACAATGTGTACCATCTCCATGGAAACTGAAAATCAAGGCCATTAATGTGTGTGTCTTTGTGTGTGGTTTTGCACCTGCATGTGGGCAGTATACTTGACGCAGCCTCCTAAAATATTGTAGGACTTTGTTTTTAACAGTGTGAAATGCAGAAGGCTGTTTTATAAGCCAGGATTGCAGAGTCCACACTGTCTGTACAGCTCCTGTCTATTTTTTTTAATTAAGGTGATCCCTTGTGACCAGTGTTCCCTCTAAGCTGAGTTAGTGTGAGCTAGCTCACAGTTTTTTAGCCTCTGGCTCACAGATTTTTGTCTCAGCTCAGGAGGGATGGCTCCAAACAAACTAATTTATGCAGTAGCCAAATCACTTGCTCACAGCTTTAATGCCAGTAGCTCACAAGGTAGATTTTTTGCTCACAAGACTCCACAGCTTAGAGGGAACATTAGAAATTTACAGCCCTGTCCTATGAATATTTACTGAGAAGTCCCATTACTCTTAATGCAACTTACTTTCAGGTAACGATGCATAGAATTGTAGGCTTTTACTCTAATCTCTACTTCTCAGGCTTTACACTTCCCAAGCTGGGATTTACCCATTGGTCGGTACTAATGTTTTACTGAGTTAAGCTGTGTGTCAGTTGCACATGTCTGGATTATTGGCCCATACAGTGCGGTACACTTTGCATTTTGCAGCTGTCACAGTGTGCCTTTGAGAAGGGCCCGGGCTCCTGCTAAAATTGTAGACAGAGTTAATTTCTCAGTTGGAGTTCTGTGCTGATGCATTGTTGCCTGCCTTTTTAAAATTGAGTTTATTACAATATTACAATACTAGGATAAGGCCCCTTGTGGAAATAAATACAACGAGCTCTAGAAAGAGGCTCTGGGAGAGTGCCAAGGCCTTGGGCACTCAGCGTCAATGTGCTGTGGCAACCTCAGCAGGGTATAATGACACAGAGTCCACCATTTTCTCCAGAGGAATTGATCTCTGCTACCTGAAGAGCAGTTGTAATTTTCAGCGATCTCCAGCCCTCACCTGAAGATTCACAACAATTGTTACCCAGGAGGAAATGGCTGGTTTGGAGGGTGGAGTCAATGGCATTGTACCTGTCTTAGGTCCCACCCCTTCTTAAACCTCACCCTCTCCCGTTTCCATCCCTCAAATCTTCAGGAAGTTCCCACCTGGAGTTGGCAACCCTATCTCCTTCCCAGCCAATCATCAACCTACCTTTATTTCCCCCTCTCTTCAGCTTTCCATTCCCCCCACACACACACCTGCAGCCTCTTCCATGCTCTGAAGCCCTGACTGCCACAGAGTCCACCATTTTCACCAGGGGAACTGATCTCTGCCATCTGGAGAGCAGTTGTAATTCTGAGTGATTTCCAGCCCTCACCTGGAGATTGGCAACAGTGGTTTCCCAGGAGGAAAAGTAGTCTTTCTCTGCAATGGGGACCAAAGCAGCTTATATCATTCTCCTCCCCCCCCTTTTGACTTGCACAATAACCCTGTGAGGTAGGTTAGGCTGAAAGTCTGTGACTGGTCCAAAATCACCCACTCAGCTTCTACAGCAAGAACCTGGATCTAGCAGACCCTGCTCTGAAGCACTGAGTGCTACGCCTAGGGCAGCCAACCTCCAGGTGGAGCCTGAAGATCACCAGGTATCACAACTGAACTCCAGACAACAGATCTCTCCCCCCCCCGGAGGAAATAACTGCTTTGGAAGGTGGGTTGTATGACATTCTGTACAGCTGAGGCCTCCCCCCCCAACCCTGGCTTCCATAGACTCTACCAGGAAATCTCCAGGAATCTCCCTACCTGGAGCTGGCAACCCTAGTCATCAGGACTGGTCCCAATGACTTCCTCACAAAGGCCTGCAAGGGGTTTCCTTCCTTTGTCTGAACCAAGCTTTGTTGCCAACATGGCTAAATAGGCTCCAGTTTACCACTCAGCTGTTTGCCTCCCACCCTAGTCTCATGGGCATATCTCACTCCTTAAATTCACTGTAACCACTCATGGACTCATCACTGCCTTTTTAGAGGGATAGTGAGACCCCTCTGGCCGAATCTCCCTATTTGGAGATGGAATCCCCAATCTTTGGGGGAATCCCTGAAAAGTTGGCAACCTAAGGGTCTGGCCTTTTCTTGCTTTCCTGGGCTACCTCCTCCCTTTGGTATTGTGCAGAGCAGGGGAGATTATGTGGTCAGAGCACAACACAGATTATTAGCCCAAAGAATTTATTTAACTATTTACACAGTTATGGAGCACACACACACACTAGGAGTGAGCACACACTATGAACCAACAGGACATAAATCAACATGGGTTAAACGCAATCCT